GTAATAACAATATCATCTACATACACCACCAATAGTATTTTTCCTGCCAAAGAGTCATGACTGAAGACTGAATGATCAACTTTGCACTGTTTCATACCAAACTTCTTTACTACCTCACTGAACCTACCAAACAATGCTTGAGGAGACTGTTTAAGCCCATATATAGCCTTCCTTAGTCTGCACACCTTACCATCCTCCCCCTGAGCAACAAATCCTGGAGGTTGCTCCATGTAGACCTCCTCGAGTAAGTCACCATGCAAAAAGGCATTCTTGATATCAAGCTGATATAGCGGCCAACCATACATGGCTGAAGAGAGATCACAACACGAACTGACCCTATCTTAGCAACCGGTGAGAAGGTCTCTATGTAGTCAATACCATAGGTTTGGGAGTACCTTTTTGCAACCAATCGCGCTTTCAGGTGTTCAACACTACCATCAGGCAGATACTTAACCGTATAAACCCATTTACAACCAACAACTTGCTTCCCAGGAGGAAGAGCGGTGAGGTCCCAAGTGTGATTATGATGAAGGGTAGAGAGTTCTTCCATCGCTCGGCACCACCCTGAAGAGGCAAGGGCTTCCTGGACATCCTTAGGGACAACAACTGATGATAACAAGGTGACAAACTGGCGATGGGAGGCGGAAAGGTGAGTAAGTGAAACATAATTAGAAATAGGATGAAGGGTGCAAGTACGTTTACCTTTCCGCAAGGCAATGGGGAGATCAAGCTCAGATGCTGAGTGCGGGTCTGGTGCCGGATCTGTCGACGGAGATGTAGCCGGAGTAGTAGTAGTTGGTACGCGTAGGCGATGTGTGTACACATGACAGATAGGTGGGCGTTCAACAAGTGATGGCACCGGCGGCAAGGGTTTGGTCACGGCTGGAACAAGGGGAAGAGGGTCGGCAACGGGAAGTGGAAGAGGATGAGGTGATGAGGAGGAGGAAGAAGCATCACCGGACCCCAAAAAGAACGGAGTAGACTCAAAGAAGGTGATATCAGCACACACAAAGGACCGTCGAGAGCTAGGATGGTAACACCTATACCCTTTCTGGGTCCGAGAATAGCCAAGGAAGATGCACTTGAGAGAACGGGCATCGAACTTGTCATTCCCGGGACCTAGATTATGGACAAAGCAGACACACCCAAATACCCTAGGCGTAAGAGGAAACAGAGACAAAGCGGGAAACAAGACCGTAAACGGAGAATGACCATCAAGGATGAACGTGAGCATCCGATTAATCAGAAAGCAAGAGGTAAGCACTGCATCACTCCAAAAGGGTTTGGGAACATTCATGTGATGCATTAGGGATCGTGTTGTTTCCAGGAGATGGCGATTATTTCTCTCAGCCACCCCATTTTGTTGTGGGGTGTAGGTACATGAGGTCTGATGTATAATGCCGTGTTGGTCCAGGTATTCTTGAAATGATGAGGATAAATATTCACGGCCATTATCAGAACGGAAAACTTTAATGTGGGTACCAAATTGATTACGAATCTCAGCATAAAATTTCTGAAAAATGGTAAACAATCACTTCTTTCTTTCATTAGATAGAGCCATGTCATCCTTGAAAAATCATCTACAAAAATGACAATATCTATATCCATTATATGACATCACTTTATAAGGACCCCAAACATCKGAATGAATYAAAGAAAAARGACTCGACACATGGTTATCAACCCTAGAACTAAAGGGAACACGATGGTGTTTCCCAAACTGACACGACTCACAATCCAAAACAGAAAGTTGACTCAAAGACGGAACCAAAGACTTCAAAACTTTTAGCGACGGATGACCAAATCGGCAGTGCCACTGGAGAGGAGAAAGGGATGAATGGAGAGTTGTTGAAGTTCTGCCACCACCGTCAAGATAATACAGTCCACCAGCTTCATGCCCTCCACCAATCTTCATCCCCGTCTTGAGACCCTGAAAAACACACATAGAAGGATAAAAGGTAATGGAGCAGTTAAGTGATTTGGTCATCTTACTAACAGACATAAGATTAAAAGGAAATTTAGGAATATACAAAACTGAGGAGAGGGATACAGGGTCTAGGTCAACATTACCAACATCACAAATTGAGGATGTGGAACCATTAGCAAGGGTGACAAATTGTGATGTTGAGCAATGAGATAAGGAGGAAAACACACCTGGAGTTCCAGTCATGTGATCGGAGGCTCCAGAGTCAATGATCCAAGGATTGGGTGTGGATGCCAGACAAGCCATACCTGAGTGAGCGAAAGTCGACGTGTTCTACTGTGATTGGATAAACCTCTCATTCATCACGGGGAACACTCACCATCTCCTTCACGGGACCATCTGTGGATGTAGGAGGTATCTGATCAGATGAATGATTCTCCTATCTAAAGCTGGAACTGGAGTCACTAGTCGCGACATGATTGGCCCAGGTTGAGGGTGGACCATGTAGATCATAACAATAGTTAATGGTATGTCCATCCATACCATAATGAGTGCACTTCCTTGGGCCAGAGCCACGTCCTCTACCACGGGCTCCCCCTGAATCTCTGCCCCCAGTACGACCACCACCATGATTATAAGTAGGCCTACTATTGCCACTTCGGCCATACACAGGACCACTACTACCACCACGGCCAGACTGAACTCCCCGAGCTCCACCTCTAGCACCACKGCCTCTCGATACAGCAAAGGCAGATCTATCGGAGATATTAGAGTTCTCAGTAGATCCGATAGAAATCCTCCAGAGTCGAGCAAATACCTCTTCTAAAGAGGGGAGAGCTGATCCTCCTAATATCTGAGCCCGTACTGGTTCATATTCAGACTTCAGTCCCACCAAAAATCTAGTCACATCAAGCTGTTCTCTCTGTTGTTGCTGAATCTTGACATCAAAAGTGAGAGGGTGATAGACATTCAACTCATTTCGTATGTTTCTCATGCTGGCATAGTACTCCTCAAGACTCTGATTGCCCTGTTGTAGATTAAAGTACTCCTGATACAGCTGATATACTCTGGTTGTATTGTCCTGTCCCGAATACAATTTCTTTGCATGGTCCCACACATCTTTGGCAATGTCAAGAAACATGAAGTTTACAATAATCCTAGGTTCCATACTATTCCACAACCATGTGATGATCTGAGCATCCTCTTGCTCCCAGTCTTCATA